GCATGACCACACCTACACCTCGGTTGGACAGCTTTCGCAGAAGGAGGTCGTGCGGCGCCTTGCCGAAAGCCTTGTTGAAGTCCACGAAGATGATGTCCGTTTCATGTCCTTTGGCCTTGTCCTCGGTCCAGCATTCACGTGCAAGTAGCAGGTTTGAGAGGCATGAGCGACCCGGCCGGAAACCGTGTTGTTGGTGGCACAAGTGACCGTGGCACACCAAATGCTGCCGAAGCCGTGCAGCCACCAGTCGCTCCATTACTTTACCCACAACGCTAGTAAGGCTGACTGGTCGGTAGTTTCCAGGATCACTCCTATCCTCAACTTTGGGCAGTGGAACAATGACAGCGTCCTTCCCCCGCCGCGGTGAACGTCCTTGAGTGAATGACAAATTGAACAGATTGCATAGTGGCGCTGCAGGTTCATCTGCCAGCTCCTTCAGGATCAGCGGATGCACACCATCAGGTGCAGGTGACTGGTGAACCTTTAGTCGACGCAGCTCCAGGGTCACCTCTCCGATGGTAAATGGGGCCCAGTTCAGCGCAGTGTCCAGTCGATGTGCCAGTGTACTGGAGGCTGGGGTGTACACTGAGGCATGATGTGATGCCAGCATCTCCGCTTTGTTCTCATCTTTTTCGGCTAGTGCTCCATCTTTGGCGAGAGTCGGGAGACCAGGTGTTGCTCTGATTCTTCGCCTGAGGTAGGCATAGAATCGCTTTGGTGCTTGTACTGAAACCGCTGCTAGTCGTTCCTGGAATCTGGTTCTCTTGCATTTTGTAGTGCAGTATAGTGATTCCGAATACATCGATATTCCTCATATCCTGCGCCTGTTCCACAGTAATTAGACCAGGCTTTATTCCACTGCCGGAGGCACGCCCGCAGTTCTCGGTCAAACCACGGCGGGCCCATAGCGTGTGTTCGGTGGAGAGAATTCCAGTACGAGCTGCTATATTCTATGACGAACCATTACCCAGGATACATCCACATCCTCAGGGTTCCGGGAATCCCAATTTGTGAGCAATGCAGCCTGACGCATAGTCGGAAAGGATGAGCACCACACATCCCGTCCGTCCTGTGGTCTGTCCGTTTGGGGTACGCCACGCCTCCAGTGTATACGCAGAACGGAGTGATCACTAGATGCAGTTAGTGGAAGGAGGTCAATACTGGTCGCATCATATTATCGTTTTTTCTGTGAACCTATCAAGACTAAAGGTTTACCTATAAACTTTTTTGAATACGATTTTACACTAGTTAATTCGTGATGGACGATTATAATACCTCATTATTCAACCTATCGAATGATTGTGCGAATTACCTAGACAGTAAACGCACCCAATCTTCAAACTTGTAAACACTAGGTTGAATCAAAACTTTAGAGTACCTTCAAGATTTACAGTAGGGATTAAAAGGAAAATTTCTTACGTCAGTGATTCGGCATAAAGACCTGAAAAGAAGAATTGAGCCCATAGATTTCGTTAAATGCACTCGTTGGGGACCTCGTGAAACATTATTATTGGTTAATGACACTGAGCGATGTGCTTGGCTAACATGAACAGGGACACTGCACATCTACGAACTTTCCACGCAGATCTAGTTTACCTGCACACAGTATCTTCGTTATATTTTGATTCGCTGTTACGGGGCTGCAGCTGAAACACTGGAGGTTGGTTGCCGTTAATTCTGGTGACAGTCTTTTGTTCAGTTGGGTGAGAGAGCATTTTGGGCACTTTGGGTGTGACAGTCCAAACCCAAACGGTACATGTTCCGAATCCTGGGACGACGAACCGCGTCGGACTGCGGTCTTAATGTATATTTCATATATTCTCATATATATATATATATGTATATATATATATATATATATATACATACACTTCCTGGATACAAGCATATCTATCAACCAACATAAGATTAGCGGATACGCATGCCTGTCGAGCGGCAAGAATCGCGAAACCGGTCGTGTGCCTCAAGAGGAGCTTTGTCCAGTCATTCACATACTACTTATAATGAAATATATATAATGTATATGTATGTATTAGTCAACTTGTGATGCTCGATGGTTTTTTGCATGTGCTATGCGACGAAAGTTGTTTGTGTCAAAGAAGTTAACGATCGACCAATCTGTTGAAAAGAATGATATTCTTGTAATGTTATTAATCCCAATGGTTTAATCACACCTATATCATTTCGGGTTACGATAGTAAGGATAATAGGCGGTTAACTACACAACGTCGATCCACTGAATGCTGAAACTTTGGGTTTCTAGCCTGTTCACAGTATGCAAAACAAGTGTCAGGGCGGCAGCATACTCCCTGAAAACCGCTTTGTTCGGGGACACAATCAGAATGAGAATAGCTGAACTCAGGTGATATGCCGAAACGAACAACCAATCAGCAGGGTTGACAGCAATATAGTCTTCAAACGTTTTGTATTTGCATTCCCTTTCCACTTTCATTCCTATCAATAAGCACGCTTTGAACACAATAAATGAATTCTAATGGCTTTCAACTGTGTTCTATTCCCCTACCTGTGGAATCGCTGTCTGGACGAAAAACGTTACCGAAACACGATCATCTAATAATCCAGTATCAAAACAATCCAGTGCGGTTACAACAGCAGGGGGCGTAATAGAAATGGCGATTTTGCAAAATTCTGCCTCTAGTATTCATTAAAAAATGAAGATCATCTGTGAATTATTTGTATTCGACGCATTGGATTGCTTAACTAAAAAATGAAGTCAAACTTTTGTGCATCATTGAATAGTTTTCTTCTATTATAAATTGTTAATGCTATTTTTACACGCATGGTATTAAATTATGATGTCTTTCAACTGACGACTGAACTCTATCAAGCCACAAATATAACTGTATTTTAAGTCACGAAAAATTATGCAAAAAATGCAGATACAGGTCAAAGATCACAGTTGATTGTGTTTCGGAGATTAAACATTGTATTACCTCATTAGCATATGTTTGCCATGTTGGTCAGCTATCTTCATTTGTTTCCGTTGTCTGATCACCAAGCGTTTCCATGGTAGCCAACCATAGTAAA